ACCACGCCGTTCTTAACCAACCAACCACTTAGGCGCAAATATGGAATGGCATTGCTGCTTTTTGAACATGTTGCCACTGCGGTTAGCTGCAAGGTGCAGCTGTGCCGCTTCAAACTCTTGAAGTTGAAGTATGACTTCTGGCTCAAGAAGGTGCGATGGAAAGGTGATGCCCAACTGGATCAATGTTCACGGCGGAAAACCAGCATGGTGAACTTCCCTTGGGAACATGATCGTCTACATTCACGTTTATTTTTTTTTCCATATGTTGAATTACCGTTCTTTTTTTAAATAAGTGGGATCCGCAAGAATATGGTATTGCAAATCATCCTGCGTTTTTTTTGGGCATGCCCAGTTTCCGCAATAGGGATGGTGATTATGGCATTGCGGATCTCCTGATCAGAGGGAATCCACAACTGGGCTGTGCAGCTGGTGAGAGTTTGAGGGGGGCTGGGGACTTGAACCAAGAACCAGATGGGGATACATGTATATTCATATGATGTCATATGTGCATCTATATAATATGTATGTATGAATTGATAGAATATATATATGTATATGTATATGTATATATACATATATGTATATATATGTATATGTATATGTATATGTATAGGTATAGGTATAGGTATATGTATATATATATATGTATGAACCAATCATACATCTTTAATCTGCAAAAACAACAAATACCGTACCAATCTACCAGATATTTTGACTGGTTATAACTTCCCATATCTCCGGGGTATTGACAAACAGATTCTGCAAATTGGTGCGGCGTCACTACCCCAGACGCCAGACTTGCTTTATGCTTGGGAGCGTTTTCCAGAAACACCCCAATGGTTTGGGCTGGACTTTGGCAGACGATTCTGCTAGATGTGGCCGCACTGTACCCCTCAGGGGGTGAAACTTGTTCATCGTTTCATTGTCGCTCTATGGCCTACCCTTCAGCAAGGTAAGTCCTCATAACGATAGTGCTTGAACAAGTCCTTATTGATGGTCTGAATTTATTTCGGGCCTATGGTTGGGGTTTACCTTTGGGGGGGTTATCCAGAATCCCCGTGATGGAGATGTGTACAGCAGAGGATGGATAGAACCCCAATGATGTAGTTTTCAAGAAATCCTCTGGTCCGCATTTCTTTTCTACAACAGCATGATTGATGAATAGCCGCTTTCTTGTTGGTGAGAGGTTGTGTACCTACCCTCCATGGTTTGGGAGCAGCTGTGTGAGGTTCTATATGTATTCTTATGTACTGTAAGTTCTACACGTTTGCGGCCTTGATCAAAATCTTATACCAGTTGATAACCCGTTTGTCTTTGTTGAAGCTGCAAAGAATTTTTCGGGTTTGGTGAAGTCAATTTCTGTTGGGGGTTTGGCGTATCTCTAAATTTTAGTATCAAAAAACACATGTATGTGTATTCTCAGTAAGCATCTCCTTGTGCGAAATTCCATTGGATGCGACTCAGACTGGACCCTAGCCACCCATAGTCCATCCATGAAATCTTCACCGCAAAACATGGAAGGTGCCGGACGTGAACCAGCTATCAGTCCAGGTGAAGGACCTGATTTGTTTGCAAACATTTGGTTCAAACTGAGAACACATTGATACTTACCATCAAAAAATAGGCACAACCTTAGTTATAGTTTTATGGTTCCCTTTCTTGCCATGGATGAGAATATATATATATGTATATATATATATATATATGTATATATGTTCCTACGCCCCCGGGGATAAAGACGAAGTTTCTCCTTTTCCCCGCAGTCTCGGCTTAAGCTGCTGCTTGGATGGGAGACACTAGTCTCCGTTGCCTTGATTGTCAGGGCAAATTTGGTGCGATCTGCTCAGATCTTCGCTGTGCCCTGTGCGGAACCCTCTTCCGGCTGAAAGGGCTTGTGCTCTCAGAAGCCTTTCCAGAGGGTGCGGGGCACTTTGCGGAGGTGAGCCTGCGCGACGTCTACTTCAAGAACCTTGAGGCTGGAGAAGCTAAGGTGTTAGAGGAGAAGGCACAGGGAGGTATCAAGGAAGAACCTCCGGGAGTGATTGACAAGAGGCCTTTGGAGGCGCCACCACTTAACCTCCAAACTACACCCAAAGCAAAGCCAGCTGAGAAGGGAGAGCCCGGAAAGTTAGAGGAGAAGCGAGTAGAAGGACTTGGAGGAGACCAAGAAGTTGCAGAGAGAGCCACATCAGCCCACCGCCCAAGAGAGAAGTCAAAGCACAAGAAAAGACACCACAGAAGGAGCGAAGAAGAGGAGGAGAACAAAGATAAGAAGAAGAGAAGGAGGAGCCGTACACCGGGGAGGAGTCGTAGCCGTACCCTCCGTGATAAGCCAGAAAGAGTCGCAGAAGAAAGACCCCCTTTGCCCCGCCAATCAGAAAGGAAGCAACGAGATCGACCTCGAGACAGCCGGGAGAGAGCCAGAGGATCCTACGAGCACGGCCGTGGAGACAGATCTGTGCGACCCCGTAGTCCCTTGAGGCCAAGGAGTCCGCCAGGGCCTCCCCCGCCTAGGTCGCCCCATCGGAGGTGGTCTGGGCCCATTCCAGCTGGTGGTAGTCGCCAGCCACCCCAGGGAGACTGGGAAAAGAAGGCAGAGAACAAAGGTGTCAAGAAAAGGAAACAGCAGGCCTTATTTGCAGAATTTAAGGCTTGGCGGAAAAGAAACAGAAGGTGGTGATCTGGATGCCACCCAAGATTGGGAGGCGTCCAGCGGCAGGCCCAAGAGTGGGCCGAGGAGTGAGGAGAGTTGCAGGTGTGGGGGCGGCAGCAAAGGGCCGTCCTGGGCCGAAGGCCAAAGCCAAAGCAGGCATTCTCAGGAGGAGAAGGCCGGCTGGAAAGACTGAGGAGGAAGAAGCGGCTGAAAGGCAGGGAGAGCAGGAGCTCTCCGAGGCGTTTGCGCGAGGAGACGAAGTAGAGGGAGCAGCAGTGCCCCCGTCACTATGGAAGAGCGGCCAACGCGTGGTCGTCACTCGGGGCGTCTACTGGGAGGAGCCCGTGGTGTTGGCAGGCTTGATTCAAGGAGTTCTTCAAGATGCCGACGGTACCACCCTGAAGGTGGAAGTCGAGGGGAGCCAGACAGAGTCACTGGTTACCTGGGCAGGGCTCAACCCAGGACGCAAGATGGACATCCACCTTTGCAGTGCCGACTGTCCCAAGATGTCCAGAGAGGGGTTGACCCATGGATTTCGGGTTTGGCAGTTGGTGCCCAGTGTCCAGGTGGGCTGGATGAACAACCTGGTAGAGGTGAAGCGGGATGCGCGGGTGGAAGAAGACGAGCTTCGAAGGTTGAGAGAAGTAGCCGAGAAGCGGAGAGGAGACGGAGGAGGAGCAGGAGAAGGTCGGAGAGGCGGCCAGCAAGACGGAGAGACGTCTTCAAGCTCTCGAGACAAGAAGGGAAAGAAGAGGAGGACCAAGAAGAAGAAGGAGTCCAAGGAGAAGGTGAAGATTGCAGGGACAAAGCCCCTGGACCAGGTTTTTGGCAATACCGCGATGGATCCAAAGCCAGACAAGAGGAAGTCCATACGCAAGAGAGCGCGGAAGGCTGCAAAGAGGAAAGGGAAGCGAGGCGATTCATCGACTTCGAGCTCCCGAGCCACCTCACACGAGAGCGGCAGCACCTCCGGAGAAGAAGGGAGGCTTTTCGGGGAAGAGGCTCGAGTCAAGATGCTCTGGAAGAGGTTCCCGGGCGCCCTGACACTGAACACTATCGAGCACATGCAGACCTTGGTAGTGTCACAGTCGGGTCAGCCATGGGAGGTGGATCGAGCTCATCTACCTCCGATATTCTCCCAATTTTGGAGGATGAGCTTCTCTACAAAGATGGGAGGTGCCATGGGACGAGAGTCTCAGACATTGAGCTTCATCCAGGACATGCTCATCCAGGGGAAAATCGCGGGCGCGTGCGATGTGATCACGCAGCGCCTAAAGGGCTTAGAGCAAATCTCCAACGGGGGACATTTCTCGATAGCCCAGCGGCAGGAGCTGGTACCAACCGATACGGTTGCGATGAGTACCCCCATGGAATCTCTGGAAGCAGCCCGACTGCAGCGGGAGGAGCAGAAGGCAAAGGCAGCAAGTGCACGGACATGGGATCGGCGGCCGGATTGGGAACGCCGGGCAGAAGAAAGCAGAGGGAAAGGAAAAGGGAAAGATCAGAAGGGCAAGGGCAAATCAAAGACAGACAATCCAGGAGCAGCAAAGGAGGAGCGAGACAAGGGAAAGAAGTGAGGAGTACAGATGACGGGGAGCCCCCGGGCTCCGTGACTGTTTCAAGGTCCTGAAAAGGACCTACCTCTTGGTAAGGCGACTGGCCTGGGGCGTGAGAGAGGTGCCTCGGCAAGGAGCCTGACGGGGGATCTTTTGGAGGCCGAAGCGTCGAGCCCGACCGGGCCAGGTGCTGAGTGGCCCTTTTCACTTGAGGGTAGGACCTTTGGAGAATTGGTCAGCCACCTTATGATTATGTTTTTTCAGCTCAACTCGAAGCTTTGTTTACCTTGCAGCAAGATCCAGCTCTCAGGCGGGATTTTTCCATTGCCTGATACCCTCTCGGGGGTTGAACGTGTGGTTGGACGCCTCTCCGGAGACGGGCTGGTAGTCCTAAGCGGTTTGTGTAGGGCGCTCAATTCCTACTACGGGGCGCAGGCAGCCGAGAAGGCGATGGTATCAGAAGCCACAAAGATGGCGCTGCATGCCATGTGTAGCTACGCGACTGACTTTGGCCTATCCAGCGAAAAGTTTGAGGGTTTGCGTTGGGAGCAGTTCATGGCGGTTAGGGGTGTAGACTATCGAGGTGAAGAAGTAAAACTAGCACGTCGTTTTACCTGGTCTAACATTGAACCTGCTTTACCCCAAGGAATTGGTTGCATACCGCTTGAAGAGGTGTGTGAGGGTGGGACTTTGGATTTTGTGGTAAATCTGGAAAGCTACCTTCTTCCGTTAGAGGACATGGTTTATACCAAGCCTCCTAGGATCTTTGTTTATCCAGAGGCATGGGAGCAGGTGTGCTCCGGTCTTCTTGAACGAGGAGTATGCCGACTTTTACCCCAAGCTGAAATTTTTCACTTGGATTCAAAACCTCTTCACAATGGTTTATTTGGAGTTTCAAAAGATGAGTTCCAAGATGGCATTGAAATTTTCAGATTGATAATGAACTTGGTTCCTGCCAACAAGCTGGTTCGTAACCTGGGTGGAGATATTTCAACACTCCCTTCGGTGGTGGGAATGGCCCCTATTTTGATGGAGAACAATGAGATGCTTGTGATGTCGAGCGAAGACATAAGATGTTTTTTCTACCTGTTTTCGGTTCCCCCTGTGTGGCATAAGTTTTTGAGCTTTGGAAGGGAGGTTCCGGCCTCCGTGGCTCCTCAAGGGGCAAAAGAGCCATACTTCTTAGCCTCACGGGTTTTACCAATGGGATTTGCTAGCAGTGTGGCTATTGCCCAACATGTCCACCGAAGGGTAGCTCGCATGGCACTCAATTCTATGAAACTTCATGGTCAAGGACACTGTGAATTACGTAAGGACAAGGTCTTTCCTAGCTCCAAGTGGTTGTACAGAATTTACCTTGACAATTTCGACACGCTAGAGCTCATGGATGAAGGACTGGCTAGTCTCATTTCGGGGAAACCTTCGGTAGCAACCTTGGCAATGCGGGAGGGTTATCTCCACTGGGGTATGCCCAGGCATCCCAAAAAATCCGTTGAGCAAGAGCTGGTGGCCGAGATCCAAGGTGCCTTGGTGGATGGCCGCGCTGGGAAGGTGAGGCCTAAACCTCAAAAGGTTATGAAGTATGTTGAGTTGGCTTGGTTGCTACTGCGGGACGGCTGGGCAAATCAAAAGCAGATGCGGGTGGTTTGTGGGGGCTTCGTTTATTGCTGCATGTTTCGTAGGGCTATGCTGGGCATGTTGAACCAGGTGTGGCGGTTCATTACTTCCTTTGAAGGGGACCCCCCGGTGGTGAAACGCCGGATTCCGCTTGTTGTGCAACTGGAGATGGTCCGATTCGTTTGTGCGATACCACTAGCTCAGATGAATTTGCGGACGCCAGTTCAGGGAGGTGTCACTGCGAGTGATGCCTCCGAGAGCGGAGGGGGGTTTTGTATCAGCGATGGTCTGACCCCCATGGGAGTACATGCAGCTGGATGCCAAGTGCGTGGGGACATGCCGGAGGTGGAGGACCACGTCCAAGTCCTGTCAGTGGGACTCTTTGATGGCATTGGTGCTCTGCGAGTTGGCTGTGACGTGCTCAAGCTGCCAATGGCAGGCCATGTCAGCTCTGAAGTCTCCAAGGAAGGGAATGGAGTAGTAGAAGGCCAGTTCCCAGATACCCTGCATGTTGGGGACGTGACTCTCATCACTGATGATGTAGTACTGGGCTGGGCGTCCCGCTTCAGTAATGTGGGCGTTGTAGTGGTCGGCGGTGGGCCACCGTGCCAAGGGGTATCGGGGCTGAATGCTGACAGAAAAGGGGCACTCAAGGATGCCCGCAGCAAACTCTTTGTCCACGTGAAGCGGGTCTATGAGCTGTGCAAGCTGAGGTTCCCTTGGGCCCAAGGTCATTTCTTTATGGAATCGGTCTTCTCCATGGACGCTAAAGACAGGGGGATCATGAGCGAAGTCATGGGGGTGTGGCCTTACGTGGTGGACGCAGTTGATGTGACAGTCTGCCGTCGACCAAGGCTCTACTGGATTTCCTGGGAAATTATGGAGTGTGATGAGGTACAGATTCAGGTCCAGCGCAGTGATAGGTTCTGGGAGTCTTACTCCGTGGTCAAGCTGGTGTGCCAGGTAGAACCTAGCTGTTTCTTTGCGAAGGGCTGGGCCATGGATCCAGGACAAGTGCTGCCAACCTTTACGACAGCTCGTCCAAGGGATCACCCTGGTAACAAGCCTGCTGGACTGTGGCAATGCAATGCCACCGAAGTGCGGCGCTGGAAGGCTGACCGGCATCGGTACCCTCCGTACGTATATCGTGACCAATACTGCCTGGTCAACTCTCTGGGAGATAGGCGATTGCCCAATATCTCCGAGAAGGAAGCTGCAATGGGGTTTCCAGTCGGGTACACCGAAGGGTGCTTGCCCAAAGGTCAGCAAAAGGGCGAAGGGTTTGCCGACGTACGCCACACTCTGATTGGGAATTCGTGGTGTGTACAAGTGGTAGCTTGGCTCCTCAAAGAGCTCTTCCGCCCTCTGGGCCTGGCACCCGTGGCTAGTTTGCAAGAGGTGGTGCGAGCTGCGTCACCGGGACTGGATTCCCAATTACAGGCCTATTTGCGGCGGCTGCCATTGAACCCCGTAAAGGGGAGCTATCACCAAGCTCCTGAAAAGGCATTGACTCAAAAATTGATGCAGTTCGTCTCAGTAAAAGGAGAAGATCTTTTGCTGCAGGCGGACTCTGAAAACCAAGTCAAATTCCACAGGCTGCGAGCTTCTGTACCTGCACGATTGTGGAAATGGAAAACGGTCTGTGGATGGCCATGGAAACACCCAGGCTATCATATTAATGCACTTGAGCTGCAAGCCGTTTTGACATGTCTGCAGTGGCGGATCTCGCGGAAGCGACATCATCGTTGCCGTCTATTGCATTTGACTGATTCCCTCGTAGTGTTGCACGCCCTCAGTAGGGGCCCATCTAGTAGCCGAAGACTTCGTCCCATACTCTCCAAGGTAAATGCGCTCCTCCTGGCCTCGGACGTTCACCCCGTATGGGGCTACGTCAATACTAAGCAAAATCCTGCCGACCGGCCGAGCCGGCGGCCCGTCCGCAAACGATGGTTAAAAGGAGCTTGCTAGAAGGGGCCACAAGGGAGGAACGCATTGTCCAACGGAGGAAGTTAGGGAGTCTGAAGTCGCTGACGGTACAGCCGGCCACTAGAAAACGCTACGATTTAGCACTGAATCAGTTCCTTGATTTTTTGAAGCTAGAGGGGATCAGCCTGCCAAGCAAAGGAGATGCATTGGATGAGGTGGCGGCAGAATACTTGGAACACCTGTGGAGTTCAGGAGAAGGCAGAGCTCTCGCTTCTGACACTCTAGCCAGTCTGCAGAATATGGAACCCAATTTGAAAGGTCATTTAAATATATCCTGGCGGTTGCTTAAGGTCTGGCACCAAAATGAGATGCCCAACCGAGCACCTCCGTTCCCTGAGGTTGTTCTTCAGGCGTTAGTAGGAAAGGCCAATATGAAGAATGACCCCAATTTTGCTCTGTCTCTGCTACTAGGGTTTTATGGAATGATGCGTACAGGAGAAATCCTGAGCCTTGAACCCAAACACGTTGAAGCCAATCGTGACAATGGTCCGGCCATTATCTCGTTGGGATTGACAAAAGCTGGCAAACGACAAGGTGCTGCAGAAAGCATCACGTTGTCAGTACAGGAGGTGGTTCGTAGATTACGCCACTGGAAAGAGTCAACCCGTAAACCTTTAGTGGCCTCAGCCAGCCAATGGCGGGCGAAATTTTCCAACCTTTTGGCTGAACTAGGTTTAGAATCCTTTCATTTCAGACCCTATTCGCTACGGCGAGGCGGAGCAACATTTTGGTTTGGGAAACATGGATCTTTCGACCGTTTATTAGTGCAGGGTCGGTGGCATGCGCAAAAGACGGCTCGGATCTATATCGATTCCGGCGTAGCTGCCCTGGCTGAAATGAAAATTCCAACTGCTAAGTTGCAAGGTTTTGTGAGTGTGTATTCCAATGCTTCGAGGCAAGAGCTTCCGAGCCTTGAGCGTACTCGCAAAGCGAGTAGTTCAGGGGGACGTGGAAACAAGGTGGTGAAACAGAAAAAAGTTGACCGCAGAGGGTCAAACAATAGACCATGGAGGGTCTATTAAAGGTACCTGAGGCCTATTTTCCTTCCGGCTTGGCGGAGGGTTAATGGGAGGTATCCAGGATACTCGAGGCCTGACTTGCCTCCGGCTTGGCGGAGTTTGGTTGGGGAGATCCTGTGTGAATTTTATGATTTTTTCTTAGTGGGGATTTCTGTTTCAATTCTTTAATTCTGACAAACATGATCTTGCTGCGCTGTGAAAAGGAGTTGCCTGAGTCTTTGTTCCTACGCCCCCGGGGATAAAGACGAAGTTTCTCCTTTTCCCCGCAGTCTCGGCTTAAGCTCCCCCCCTCTACCACCCTTTCTTCTTGCTTTATATGTGGAAAGAAGGTGGTGAAACAGAAAAAAGTTGACCGCAGAGGGTCAAACAATAGACCATGGAGGGTCTGTTAAAGGTACCTGAGGCCTATTTTCCTTCCGGCTTGGCGGAGGGTTAATGGGAGGTATCCAGGATACTCGAGGCCTGACTTGCCTCCGGCTTGGCGGAGTTTGGTTGGGGAGATCCTGTGTGAATTTTATGATTTTTTCTTAGTGGGGATTTCTGTTTCAATTCTTTAATTCTGACAAACATGATCTTGCTGCGCTGTGAAAAGGAGTTGCCTGAGTCTTTGTTCCTACGCCCCCGGGGATAAAGACGAAGTTTCTCCTTTTCCCCGCAGTCTCGGCTTAAGCTCCCCCCCTCTACCACCCTTTCTTCTTGCTTTATATGTGGAAAGAAGGTGGTGAAACAGAAAAAAGTTGACCGCAGAGGGTCAAACAATAGACCATGGAGGGTCTGTTAAAGGTACCTGAGGCCTATTTTCCTTCCGGCTTGGCGGAGGGTTAATGGGAGGTATCCAGGATACTCGAGGCCTGACTTGCCTCCGGCTTGGCGGAGTTTGGTTGGGGAGATCCTGTGTGAATTTTATGATTTTTTCTTAGTGGGGATTTCTGTTTCAATTCTTTAATTCTGACAAACATGATCTTGCTGCGCTGTGAAAAGGAGTTGCCTGAGTCTTTATATATATATATATATGTATATATATATGTATATATATATATACATACATACATACATACATACATAATACGGAGTTTTGGAAGGCATGGATTTTTGTTGCAGGGAATGTCAAGGAGGAATTGGCTGGCCATCAAGGATCGATGTGGGTTATCCATGGTTATCCCGTGACGACCATGGTGACCTTCTCCCATGGACCAGTCGCAAGCCGCGCTCTCCTAATCTGCTATTTCATCGTCGTTTTTTGGGGGTATATACTTTAAGGCTAGCAATACGATGAACACCATTGTTTTAAAACTTACTTTAAAGCCCTGACCCCTGACATAAAGCCCATAAAAAGTGAGGTTGGAAGATGATTTTCCTGACAGTTCTATTTTTGACTTCCAACTCCAACCGCCATGCCCTTAAGTCGTGCTCCTTTTGCGGTGAAAATTTGATGCTTTACTTTCTGTGTCTTTGGGGATCATTCCTTGAACTGTGCTTTTCCTTTGCATTCTAAGTCCAACACTCCAAAGAACACATCCAAACGAGTCAAGCGCAACGTCAAGAGAGCTGGTGTTTCAAGGAGATCTCGCCCCAACCAGCAGTGCTGGTGCCGGGGCTCCCGGACCTTTCGGGCTCTTGGAGTTGGATCATCGCACGATTTTTTTGGCCCAGCAATTCCCAGTGGTTTCACATGGCCGTCCCACTTGGGAAGCTGATCCCCCCGGGACTTTCATAGTCAGGGCGTAGGCATTTCTCTCATGTTCGGGCTACGTAGAGCCGCATTTCTTGCTTTTTAAAGAGGGGTGCACAGAATGTGGGGATCCTTTCATCAAGCAGGGTTTGTTCAGATCTCCAAATTGTTTGAAGTGGCTGGATTGATTGGAATTTGCATAATTTACATATTTCAGATGTGATTTCATTGCCTTTTTTTCACTGGTCACAAGGTTGTTCATGTTGTTCTGAACCTCAGAGCTGAATTTGCCACTTTCGAGCAGATTTCTTGGACAATGTACGGCCTCCATGTGTTTATCCTGAAACTGAAAACTCAAGCGGAAGAGGGCTATCTGATCGATGATCTCTGAGGATAGGTAAGAAGGGAGATCAAACATTGGACAGCGTGAAACCATGAAGCAAAAACAAACGCATAGAGTATAGAGAATAGGATGTCTTCCAGTCACTGAATGAACATCAACTCCCAATAAACTCCCAAGGTTTTTTGAGGTTTCGGTTTATAATGCAGAGAAAACAGGGTAACACTGACGATGGCCCTTGCGCGGCGTGCCAAGCTTTGGGCAGGTGGGGTGAGCTTTGGACCCTGGGACCTGCATATGGTCATTTTAGTAAGTCCCACTGTTGGGCCCTGAATGACTTGACATAAAATCGGTCGGTGATTTTGGCGTCTGACAATGGGTCATTGAATTCCATTCTGCCTTCTTGGAAAAGAGGCAGGGTTTGAAAGCAATAGGATTTGCTTGCTGCAACCCCGAGCTGTGGGAATTCCCAGATTGGGATAGATATGATATGAGCAACTGACAATATGCTTGGTTCTCATCCACTACTACAGGATGGATTTCCATTGTTCTTTGATGAATGGGGTTATTGATATGAACTATGAAATATAAGATTCCTACTAGCAAGAAAGCAATTGTTAATTTGTATTGTAATGAACATGCTTTATTAATTCGTCACTATTCCATTATTGCTAATACGAAAGCATGTCCAATGGCCATTGGAAGAAATCTTGTCAGTGCTTCACATGGCTGTTTTGGGTCGATCCACATTCTCATCAGCATTATAGCCATAGCATGGTTGGTGCCATATTTGATTGATAAAGTAATATAAAGTATGTATCCAAATGTATGTATATATAATATACATATAATAAGACATAAACTATGTTTCATCATCCTACCCGGGATAATGATCCCAATTGACTCTTATATTTTTCAAACAAAGGTGGCTCTACCATCTATGGCTGATTCCTTGGGCTTTCATAAAATCAGGGAGCAACATGATCTAAATAGGTCACCAAAAAAAGTAGGGAAACCATGGGGGTACCACAATTTTGAAGACCAAATTCCAACTTTCGGCAGCCACCCCGCAGCCCTTTGGGTTTCAGCAGCACCTCATCTGCCCCGAGCGAACCGTGTTGACGCCATGGGCGATCTGAACCGACCACTGATGGAAGCTGCAGCTGCGCTGGATCTTCCAGTGATCCAGGATCTGTTGAAGCGAGGTCTGGTGGATCCGGGTCCAAGAAAACGTGGTTGGAAGATGTTGGAAGCACCTTGAAGATCTGATAAGATCTGGGCATGGACGTCGTGACGTGATTCTTTATGATTTTGGATCTGGGATGATCTGGGGGATTCAGAGTGGAAAATGTGTCTGGGGACCCCAGCTGCGTTGGGAAATGACCAGCAGCCGACTCCGTTCCGGGGTGATTTCAATGTCAGGTGCAGATGCGAGATTCATCGACGCCACTCGGCCGCTTCAAGGGTTGATTTCTCATGCCTTCAACAGATGGAATGGCTTTTGGCATGTTTGATCAAAATTCAAAGGTAGAGCTGAAAAACAGGGTAGCAATACTGTCATATCATCGTCGTAACCCAATACATATGGATCATAGACCTCAGTCCATAGACCCTCCCCAGCAATCTACCCTGGCCATGAGCCTTGCCATCTTTGATTACTAGGGGTAATTTTCATCATCAGGGCAACCATGTATCATCATATATTCTGTATATGCATAGCTTGTATAGGTATATATTGTATTATGTGTGTGTATGTATATATATATATATATGTATATATATGTATATATATGTATATATATGTATATATATATGTATATATATATGTATATGTATATATATATATATGTATATGTATATATATGTATATGTATATATATATGTATATATATATGTATATATATATATATGTATATATATATATGTATATGTATATGTATATATATATACGTATATATATATATGTATATATATATATATATGTATATATATATGTACACATATTGAGTCAGCGTTCGACTAGGTTATAGGTGTGATAGCTGCTTGCTGACCCCATAATTCTTTCAGGTGTCATCCCGCCACCAGAGGACCCCGAAGGCGTCTGGGGCAGCCGTGCCCGGAAGGGCCCATTGCATGTGGCGTTGAGACAGCAGCCGCAAAGGGACAAAACCGAGGAGGTGTGGCTGGTGGTTGGGTGGTGAACGGTGGGTAACTGGAAGTTTTTTTGGCGATATTTTGACACTGGAGAATACGTTTCACAGATTTGCGGAAAAACAATGGGAGAAGTCAAAAAACACACATATTCATGGGTTACCTCTCGGTTACCTCTCTCTCTCTCTCTCTCCCTCTCTGTTTATTTAATTATGTATGCGGTAGTATCTTTATGTTTGTTCTGTAAGCGTAATGCAGAGTGAGTAGTGCAAATGCACTGTATACAGATAGCGGGCAACCCTTGCGGCCATTGCGAATAATTATACCTGACCTAGGGCTTAACATGAAAGGGAGCACTTCCAGCTATCGATATTCGGGGGACCTTGTTCACCGCGCCCAGCTGGCCAACTGGATCTCCGTGGTGCGCACTTTGCTGGAAGCTAAGGCAGATGTGAACGAGGCGCAATGTGATCGAATGGGATAGAAATGTCATGTTTATATGGAGGTGTCCTAAAATGGAGGTAGGGAAATTACCAGAATTCATCTATAAATGGGCCATTTTCCATAGCTATGTTAAATAACCAGAGGGTAAACCCCACATAGATAGAAGCATCACAACAGTCGCTATTTTAGTAGGACTTGAGTTTTCGATCTTTTCAGGATTGCTATAGTGAGGTGTGATTACATATATAGATTCATGGCATATTCTGGGATATACTATATTACCGGCCGATTTAGTGCCATGATGAAAAATTGGATTGAAACACCAAAAGTAGAGATTTGGTGGAATAGTGGTGATATTTGATGGGACCAACTATCAAAGGTTGGATTAGGTTCACGGACTGAGGGCTGGTCATCAATCAGGGCTTGATCTAACAATCCCATGATCTGACATCCACAAGTACCAGTGATTTTGGGAGATAATCTGAGATAACCAAACAAGAATTGGATTTTCATTTTTCTTGGCAAATCGCCAGAAGGTCTTGGAGCAGAGTCTTTCTAAAACGGACACATCTTCAAACAGCGAACCAAGAGGATGATGATAACTGACTGAAACAGGTGGTAAGTCGGAAGAGGGCTTGTTTGACCATGTTTGAACATTATGGGAACCCCAACCTCCACCGGTTCATCATCATGGATTCCCTGTTAGACGTGCTATGGCCTTAGGGGAATCTCGATTTTTTTACACACCCAAGTGGATACATACACCAGGTGAGCATCAACTCTGACTGGAGAGGCTGTGGCAGCGAAGCACCTTGGCAAAACTCTTGATCTCCTGGCCACATTGGAACGCTCCGGGAACCTCATGAAATGATCTATCCAGTGGTGAACTCAGCACATGATAGTGATGAACTATCCCATCTCCCCAATACAATAACCACCAAAAAAGGGGCCCCAAGCACGAATAGATCCAATATAAAACCAGGGGGGCGTTTGTGGGTATCTAATTTTGGAGGGATGGGATTTATAGGGGGAAAAAACCCAAATCACATTATTTCGGATTTGTAAAAGGTCAATTTGCGTATTACTGCGTTTGATGTATTCAACAAGTCAAAATCTCTTTTTTGTAGACCCCTGATTATGGGACCCCTGTGCCCCTAAATTTTCCATACTGTGGGGGGTCTTTGCTCATGGGCACCGGGATGCAAGAATCAGGTGCCCACAAACTACGACCCTCAGATAGCCTTAGGGTCGTAGGACCTGTAGGATGAGCCACTGCGAAGTTTGGGGCAGTCACAGGCAAAGCTGGTGGCCAATGGAAGTTTTCCCACAAGCTAAGCAGCAAACCTTGTTTGGATGTTGTTTTGGGAGTATAATTAATACTCAGCAAACCATTGCTGTTTTTTGGCAGGTTATCCAAGGGTTATCGAAGGCACATATTCATTTTCCTCCGTCCCTCGAATCCCCAGTTTTCTTGGGTGAACCACGCCCAAATATCTCAGCATTTTACAAAACTAAAAAAAATCAGCCCCAACTCATTTGCAGCACAGTTCACATGCCGAAAAGAAGAGCCATACCATCTGGTAATTTAACATAGCTATGGAAAATGACAATTTTTAATGGGTAAATCCACTATAAATGGCCATTTTCAATAGCTATGTTAGTTTACCAGAGGGTAGTCGATTTTTCAAATGTCCAGCTTGAGGCCAGCGCCTTTGACATGGCCATGCCCTTTGCAGTGGAACATGGCGACTTCCTGGTGGGACTCTCCCAGATTTGGAAAATGGGCACTGGGACTGGATGGAACTGCTGAGTTTTCACGTATTTTGGTGGTTGATGTTGTCGATCTTGGCGCATGTTTGGTCCATATGGGTGCTGCAAAATACTTACCAGCTAGTGGATGGTTGGGAAACAAGCACATCTTTAGCACATAGTCTGAAAAGCGGGAAGAACGCACGTGTTTCATTGGATGATATATTGATATGACATAATATTTTGGGATGCACCATGAATCGGGAAGAAGAGAAAGGCCAGTTTTTGAGGATCTCCAGTTTTGCAGTGCAGGAGGACCACAATCCATGTATTGACCATGGCAGGAGTTGTTCCTGCAGCACGGAGCAGATCCCAACACCAAGCGCTACCACGAGGTGGTCTGAAAATTCGAGGGAAAATCCCAAAATCCACTGGTTTCTGCTAATTGGCCTTACGCAAATAATAATTGTTGTGAGGTCCAGCTATCCAGCTAAATTTCGTTTTCACCATCCAAATTGCTATATTGACTTATTTTAACCTGAAAGTTCGGAGCAATAGCGTGTTTTCAGTCAAGCCCACATGTGTACTTTCTTATTCCCCATCGGGCTCTGGTAGTCACATGGCTGGTTTTCCAGAACGATCTTCCCTTCAATGCTGGTTGGTAAGTAATGATTAAGAATCAGCCGTTTATTGATTGGGACCCTACTGGGATCGTCCCAGTCCCATATCAGATATCCACCAGTTTTCGCCGTTTTGTATTGAACCGTTCATCCTATGGTTTAACCCCATGCTTGTTGATTACCTGAATCAGTTATATCTACATTGACTGTCCGGTAGGGAGTCAAAGAGCTATGTATCCATATTCCCCAGAACTATGGGGAGGAGCTACGAATAGAGTTTCCCAGTCACATGAATAGCTAAAAAAATTACCTGCCAGGACAAGAATATCTTGAGTCTAAGTAAGGATTATTAGTGAAGATTATTCACTGTTTGATCAAGTTCAATCTGATTTCTTTTACAAAAATTCTGTACAACTCAAGTAGGGGAGAGGGACAGGATTTCTGTGTCTCAGTAATGAGTCATCTTTGGTGATTTGTTAAAGGTATCCTGTGCATCTAGTCTACATGTGTTTCTCCTGAAAAATTGTCATTTTTGAAACACAATATTGGTTTGTCTGAAAAATAGGGTACTTACTGTACCTCCAAATTTGGTAGTCTACCATCAATTCCGCAATTCCCCAATTTTTGGACACACGCGCATATCATGTTGTTGGTCAATCCAATCAAATCCCATAAAGATATACAACTATATATATATATACATACATCATATGTATATATATATATATACGTATTTGCCCATAGTTTTTATTGCTCAAATCACAATTTTGATGGTGAAACCATTTTTGTCATCATTCCTGGTCATATATATATATATATCCATTATATCCCATTTATCATGGTTTCAAATCATAACCACATTGAACACCATTGTTGATGAGGTTTTATCCCATGTTGTATCACGCTTAAATCCCATGCCAACAATATCTGACAATTATTAGCCATTATTAGCTATTAGCTAATAGCAATTAGCTAAGAATGCTGTGATATGCTAGCTATAATTGTTAGATTGATTATTATAGATTATTTTGATGTTATTTGTGATAGAATGGGCTAGCGCCCAGGTGCCGCCGACCCCCCTCTATTTTGGGGGCACTGTGGGGAGAGAGAGAGAGAGAGAGAGAGACAGAGAGGGAGAGGGAGAGGGAGAGAGAGGGATAGATAGATAGATGGATGGGTGGATGGATGGATGGACGGATAGATAGATAGATAGATAGATAGATAGACAGACAGACAGACAGACAGACAGGTAGACATGTGAATAGATAGAGAGATTGACAGACAGACAGATGGGTAGTTGGACGGTTTTGGAGGGTGTTCGGAGGGTTTGGAAGGTTTTGGAGGTTTGGGGGGTTTGGAGGGTTTTGGAGGGTGTTTGGAGGGTTTGGAGGGTTTTGGAGCGTTTGGAGAGTTTTGGAGCGTTTGGAGTGTTTGCGGGCTGGCAAACGGCAGCTTTGAAAGCCAATAGAAAGCCATTGCTGTGGCCTTGGCCCTGGGGTGCTTGTTTGAGAAGTGGCCTTCGCCCTGGGGTGCCTGTTGGGGAAGGTGTTTGGAGGGTTTGGAGGGTGTTTGGAGGGTTTGGAGGGTTTGGAGGGTTTTGGCGCGTTTGGAGTGTTTGCGGGCTGGCAAACGGTACCTTTGAAAGCAATGCTGCGGCCTTGGCCCTGGGGTGCCTGTTGGGGAAGTGGCCTTGGCCCTGGGGTGCCTGCTGGGGACGGTGTTTGGAGGGTTTGGACGTTTTGGAGGGTTTGGACGGTTTTGGAGGGTGTTTGGAGGGTTTGGAAGGTTTTGGAGGTTTGGGGGGTTTGGAGTGTTTGGAAGTTTTTTGGAGCGTTTGGAGAGTTTTGGAGCGTTTGGAGTGTTTGCGGGCTGGCAAACGGCAGCTTTGAAAGCCCATAGAAAGCCATTGCTGTGGCCTTGGCCCTGGGGTGCCTGTTGGGGAAGTGGCCTTGGCCCTGGGGTGCCTGCTGGGGACGGTGTTTGGAGGGTTTGGACGTTTTGGAGGGTTTGGACGTTTTGGAGGGTTTGGACGGTTTTGGAATGTGTTTGGAGGGTTTGGAGGTTTTGGAGGGTTTGGGGGGTTTGGAGGGTTTTGGAGGGTGTTTGAAGGTTTGGAGGGTTTTGGAGCGTTTGGAGAGTTTTGGAGCGTTTGGAGTGTTTGCGGGCTGGCAAACGGCAGCTTTGAAAGCCAATAGAAAGCCATTGCTGTGGCCTTGGCCCTGGGGTGCTTGTTTGAGAAGTGGCCTTGGCCCTGGGGCGGCAGCTTTGAAAGCCCATAGAAAGCCATTGCTGTGGCCTTGGCCCTGGGGTGCCTGTTGGGGAAGTGGCCTTGGCCCTAGGGTGCCTGCTGGGGACGGTGTTTGGAGGGTTTGGACGTTTTGGAGGGTTTGGACGGTTTTGGAGGGTGTTTGGAGGGTTTGGAAGGTTTTGGAGGTTTGGGGGGTTTGGAGTGTTTGGAAGTTTTTTGGAGCGTTTGGAGAGTTTTGGAGCGTTTGGAGTGTTTGCGGGCTGGCAAACGGCAGCTTTGAAAGCCAATAGGAAGCCATTGCTGTGGCCTTGGCCCAGGGCCTTGGCCCCGGGGTGCTTGTTTGAGAAGTGGCCTTGGCCCTGGGTTGCCTGTGGCGGAAGGTGTTTGAAGGGTTTGGAGGGTGTTTGGAGGGTTTAGACGGTTTTGGAGGGTTTGGTACCTTTGCAAGCCCATAGAAAGCTATGCTGCGGCCTTGGCCCTGGGGTGCCTGTTGGGGAAGTGGCCTTGGCCCTGGGGTGCGTGCTGGGGACGGTGTTTGGAGGGTTTGGACGTTTTGGAGGGTTTGGACGGTTTGGAAGCTTTTGGAGCGTTTGGAGAGTTTTGGAGCGTTTGCGGGCTGGCAAACGGCAGCTTTGAAAGCCCATAGAAAGCCATTGCCGTGGCCTTGGCCCTGGGGTGCCTGTTGGGGAAGTGGCCTTGGCCCTGGGGTGCCTGCTGGGGACGGTGTTTGGAGGGTTTGGACGTTTTGGAGGGTTTGGACGGTTTTGGAGGGTTTGGAGGGTTTTGGAGGGTGTTTGAAGGTTTGGAGGGTTTTGGAGCGTTTGGAGTGTTTTGGAGCGTTTGGAATGTTTGCGGGCTGGCAAACGGCAGCTTTGAAAGCCCATAGAAAGCCATTGCTGTGGCCTTGGCCCTGGGGTGCCTGTTGGGGAAGTGGCCTTGGCCCTAGGGTGCCTGCTGGGGACGGTGTTTGGAGGGTTTGGACGTTTTGGAGGGTTTGGACGGTTTTGGAGGGTGTTTGGAGGGTTTGGAAGGTTTTGGAGGTTTGGGGGGTTTGGAGGGTTTTGGAGGGTGTTTGGAGGGTTTGGAGGGTTTTGGAGCGTTTGGAGAGTTTTGGAGCGTTTGGAGTGTTTGCGGGCTGGCAAACGGCAGCTTTGAAAGCCAATAGAAAGCCATTGCTGTGGCCTTGGCCCAGGGCCTTGGCCCCGGGGTGCTTGTTTGAGAAGTGGCCTTGGCCCTGGGGTGCCTGTGGCGGAAGGTGTTTGGAGGGTTTGGAGGGTGTTTGGAGGGTTTGGAGGGTGTTTGGAGGGTTTAAACGGTTTTGGAGGGTTTGGTACCTTTGCAAGCCCATAGAAAGCTACGCTGCGGCCTTGGCCCTGGGGTGCCTGTTGGGGAAGTGGCCTTGGCCCTGGGGTGCCTGCTGGGGACGGTGTTTGGAGGGTTTGGACGTTTTGGAGGGTTTGGACGGTTTTGGCGGGTGTTTGGAGGGTTTGGAAGGTTTTGGAGGGTTTGGGGGGTTTGGAGGGTTTTGGAGGGTGTTTGGAGGGTTTGGAGGGTTTTGGTTTGGAGAGTTTTGGAGCGTTTGGAGTGTTTGCAGGCTGGCAAACGGCAGCTTTGAAAGCCAATAGAAAGCCATTGCTGTGGCCTTGGCCCTGGGGTGCTTGTTTGAGAAGTGGCCTTGGCCCTGGGGCGGCAGCTTTGAAAGCCCATAGAAAGCCATTGCTGTGGCCTTGGCCCTGGGGCCTGTTGGGGAAGTGGCCTTGGCCCTGGGGTGCCTGCTGGACAAGGTGTTTGGAGGGTTTGGACGGTTTTGGAGAGCGCCCGGAGGGTTTTGGAGGGTTTGCAGGGTTTGGAGGGGGTTTTGGAGGGTGGTCCGACAGGACAAGTTCCACACCTGCGGTGGTCCCAGGCGCCGCCCCGGCCTTGGCGAAGGCCGGGGTCGGCGGAT